GAGGTGGCATTTGGCTGGGTGTGCTTGGGGAAGGCAGGCTCGGGGATGGAATGCCACTGGTCCCAGCAAGGGAGCACTGCGCCCTGGATCATAGCTCCTTGATGAAGGTGAATTATGATTAGCAGTGATATGTAGCTCTACTCAGCAGCAGGGTGCATGTGTGTGTGCTCCCTCAGCTCACAGACACACACATGCTGCCCGTGAGCCGCTGGCATTTTGATCTAAATTAATCATAGATGAGGCAGCTCTCAATGAACAGAAGAGGGTGTGGGATGGAGGAGTGTGTAATCTGGGAGAGACCCTGTCCCAGTGGTGTGTGAGTGTGCTCATCAGCTCCATTTCTCACTGTCCTTATGGTTTCAGTAGAGCAGATGAAAACTTACTGCACTTACCCTCTTCCCCTCTTTGTGTGTCTGGGGACGGGGACAGAGCTCAGTGTGCAGGGACAGGAGCTGTGGGGCTCAGGGGAGTGCAGGGACTGTGGGAGCATGTGAGGGTGACCTGAAGGTAATGGGGGCATTATCAGGCCCTTCCCGAGGGCTTTGAAGTGACCCAGCGTTTGTCTGGCAAAGCTCCTTGCAGTGTCTGCAGGGCTGGGAGCATAGGAAGGTCAAATATGGAGCAGAACAGCATCCGGTGGAAGCCTGCCATAGGCAAAGCCTTATTTGTATCTGTTATGACAAAGGCTTCCAGCTCCTAGCAGAAGCACAACCCAAGGTTTCAGCTGGCCAGGGGTTCAGCAGACCCTGTTGCCACCGATCTATGGGGACACTTGCTTTCAATTCAGGCTATGATTTGTGTTTCACCAAGGGGAGAACAGAGATGACCTTGATTCCAGTTCAAATCCTGCATAATGAATGCATACCTTGAAATGTCTGCAGCCTGCATTCTAGGGCTCTGCTACTCAGCATGTGAAAACCACACAGTCACACTTCCATACATGCTGTTATTAGGTTTAGACTTGAATCTATGCAATAATCTTACTTTTCATTTATTTTCATTGCAAGTTGCAAAACAGTCTGAAGCCCTGTAAAAATACCTGAGCGATGACATGCAGCCTGGAGGGGACTTTTTGTGAATTTGGTAAGGGACTGACTTAAGAATGCAGCAAGAAAAATTATTTTTTTTTGGCCTTCAGAGTATGCAGTAGATTGCTCAGTTTTATAACTCTGAGCTTTTACTTGGGACTACCCACTTCAGCTTGAAACCAGAAGCTCTGACAATGACAAATCCATTCACATCAGATATGATCTCTACGGGTAGAGTTGCAAGTTTCATTCCCATCTGCTGATAGAATTATCTCCATTGTGTCCCCACCCCTTATCTGTCCCTCACAGCAACATTTTAAGTGGCTGTTTTTCCCCTCAGAAAGCCACAACAGGGGATTATTTTAAGCTTCAATTGCAGAAGCAGTGCTGCCTTGTTTTCTTCTTCCCCCTCCAAGGCCACATCTGTTAGACATCAGCACTGAAGCTGAAGGCAATAGAGTAATTGATACCTATTGAAGAGCCTGCTTAGTCTTTCTCTAGTGGCTTTCTCATATTTTGGTATGGCTTAGAGTCCTTTGGAGGATCACAGGTCCACACATACTCCAGCAGGCTGATCTTAAATCAGCTTATTGACATAGTTTTCTTATCTTCATGAAGTGCATATGCTGATTTTATCCACTGCCACATCATCTGCCATAGCTGAACTGCATTTGGAATGAGGAGGCAGAACACAGAACTGGTCACTATCTACATTGCACCCAAGGCGAAGGTGGAGACAGGGGAATGCCAGAATTGCAAAGCCTGGGTAGTCACTCAGTCTAGAAACAGATTTTACCTTTAAAGCTGTAGCTGTTATCTTGCTCTTAAGTCTTACTCCACTCTCTTCTGGGTTTGGAGACCTGTATTTGCTATGCTTTCATCTGAAAAAAACCTTTTCCTTTCCAGGTATGTTTCTGTATGTGATATTAGATGTAATTCTATGATCATCTGTGTAAAATAGAGTCATGGAAGTTAGAGGTAGAAATGGTTGATGAATTGCCCACTGTATGATATTCTTAATTTACTTAATTTAATTCTACTTTAGCGGCTTTGATGGTCTACCTTAAAAAATATAATTAAAAACATTTCAGTCTTTATTTTGATACTAAAAATAGCATTACTACTTTCTCACAAACTGGTGATACTGGTCATGTGAGATTAAAATCCATGGACTGGTAAGGAAGCTAAAACACCATGCTAAAAACTTAGCTATATCTGGACATGTCCACAGAGAGTATGAATGACATAAATAGTCTTGTGCAGAATGAGTGTGTAACTTAGGAGCCAGGATGGATTTTTTTTGGGAGGGTTGTACGGTATCAGAATTTCAAATCTGTTTTTAGACTGAATTTCTAAACAGTCAGCATCTGAGAAGGACACAGAACAGAGTAATACTGTACAATATCTTCACTTGTGTATGTTTTTTATTTCGTTTTCTTTAGGTGCATTTCTGCATTTCTTGTACACTCTTGTTAAAAGAACAAGGGAATAACACTATATTTTGTATTTGTGCAAGAATTGTGTGTGTGTGTGTGTGTGTGTGTGAATATGGTGTTCACCCTTAAAGGCTGGATTATGCCAGCGTTTGGAGGTGGAAAGCTCCACTTATTGCAGGAAAGGCTTTCTCTGCTAGAAATGAAGCAGAAGGGTTCATTTGTCAACAGAAGAGAAAGTTTCACTTCACTTCTGAAGAAGTTCATTGTTTCCCTATGTGGAGTTTGGTTTTCTTTCAGCATCATAATCTCTAGAGTATTCTGCCAAATGGAGGAGCCTCCAACAGAGTCAGTGATCAACCCCTGTGTGTATGCCCAGGGGCAGAGTTGTGCTTCTTTTCCTGACTCTTGAATTAATAGAGTGGATATTTTCCTCAGCAGAAGGCAGTGTCTGCTGGTGTGGTTCTCTCTCACCCCAAAAAGAGTGCAGGAGGGGGAAATATGGGAGGATAAATGATGCATTTTGCTAACTGGAAAAAGCCTTTGAAGTTAACAACAGCTGCTGTGCTTCTTTTCCCTGTGTGTGCCCAGGCTGGCGTCCAGCGAGGACTCTGTGACCCGGGAGCTGCAGTGTGGCACTGCGTGTATTTGACAAGCTGAGTCCGACACTCAGTGTGCAGAGTGTCAGTTTGTCAAATACCCCAAGTGAGGCACTGCTGAGCAACGCGACGCCGAGGGTGCAGCCCCTTCCTCCTGCTCTGGCAGGAGCCTTCCTCTGCAGGCTCAGCACTTCTCCAGAAACCCACCGAGGTGCTGAGCAGCCCATCCCATTGTTCCAGAACACCTGGCTGATGCTGTGCTGCCAGGTTTCCCTTCCACCCTGGTTTTGGAAGTATCTGTCGGGGTATCCCTCCCAACATTTAATCAGAGCAGAAGTGGTGCTGGTGCAACTTCTCTATCAGGGAATTGTGCCCTGGGTCCTTGTTATTTGCATCCAAATACAATGCTGTTCTCTTACACAGCATTAACTAGCCAGCTGTGAATTAAGCTCAGTTAACAAGAATCCTGGCAACTATAATCACAACATCATGGGTGAAAGCAGCATTATCCATAATAAAGAATCTTGCATTTGGACATGTAGTAATCTTTTTTATATGGAGTACAAACTAATGAGGATGCTCATTAACTTTCCTCTGGCCCATTAGCCTGTGAAAAATGTATGTTTGCTCAATCTGTTTTAAATTAGGCCATGGAGTCCATTGCCCTTCCTGGGAGCCTTGCTGTTTGGAGAAGACTTCTTGTCTCTGCATGGTTATTCCTAGTCAGCACTTACAGCAAGGTTGCCTACTCTGCTATTTAATGAAAGTAATTCCCTCTAAATCATCCTGCTTGAAGATGTAATGATTGCTAAGTGTTTTCAGTAACTGACTTGTAGAATTTCAGATATGTCAGGGTAGGGAAATGAGAGGGGCAGCATTGAGCCCAATTTGACAAATCAAACTCTGAAAGCATTTGACATGGAAAACTCAAAAATAAAAAAAAAAATCCCAAGACTGTACTGACTAGTTCTAGGACAGTAGCACCAGCAAATTTTGCAATATTTGAGAATATTAATAAACTGAAATACTTAACTTTTGGGCTTTTTGTTGCAACTATTTCTTAGCAAATATTTTGAAGAAGCTGGAGTTTCTACAAAGCTGGAACCCATGAATGTGTATCATTGCCTAAGCAAATTGTGTTCTGCTTTTTGACTAGATTGTGCACTTCTGGACAAACATGATCCACAAGTGGTCCAGAAATGGCCCTACTCCGTATGACTCACACTCCCATGGTCTCTCTCAGGCACCTCCTCATGACTCACAGACATCACCATGATCTTTATCATGGAGGTTAGCTTCAAAAGAGAGCAAGGTCTATGATTTCAAGCTTTGCTTTGTCCCCAGTGGATCCTCCACGAAGCACACAGCCATGTCAGCCCCAAGCCTTGCTGTCACTCAAACCTCAAGGTTTCAACATACCCAAACTCCTTTGCACCACAGCTGGCCAAGGGTTTGTTTATGCCCTTCATTCTTGTTTTCTCACGCCTTTCCAATTTTTGCTTCCAGTAGTTTGCCCTCTGTTTTATAGATGACTCTCCCTTTCAGCTCCCAGATCCTTCCGGATGACTGCGGTGAAGGGGAAGAAAGTAAACCCCTTTCTCTCTTACAAAAACAAGCATCAAATGCAGTGGGACAAATTTCTCTGGGACTTCATCTCCCACCTCCCTGCTCCAAAGTATGGTACAAACCCAGCAGGTGTAAAAGCCATCAGGTCCCCTCCATGGGACAGGCACTGCAAGGGAAACTGTGAATCTCATGACACTCTGCTGGCCACTCAAGATGGTGTGTTTTTGGGAGGCAGTGTCCTTTCAGGGCAGAAGCTGAGCTTTTCCTTCCGTTCTGGAGCAGAGCTCAGCAGATGAGCACATTGCAAGCAAAGGAGAAGTTTTCTGGTTTGATGCAACAGAGCAGAACCCTCTGTGGCTTTCAGAAGAAAAATGTTCCGTTGCCAAGAGGTTTTACTAGAAACATGGAAAACATGCTAAAAGTAAAATAAAGAAATAATCACACACTTGTTACCCAGGGAAAAACACCTCAGCACTGGAGACAGGCTTCTAATGTCTTACTGTTCTGCTACTTGTGACCAAAGTCCTGTTGCTGCCCTAACTAGAGGAGTACATGGGGGCTGGTCCATCTGCTCTCCCCTTCTTAACTCCTGTTGCCTTCTTCCTCTGTAGTTTCTCCCAGGCTTCATTTCTTCCAAGGAAGGTGCCCAGACCTTGTCAGAGCAGATCAGTGCTGGGAGGAACCACAAGATGCAAAAACCATGGTGTTACATAGTCAATGAGTGAACCTGGAGCTCAGAACTTTTAACAGCAAGAAAACTTGCAGAAAAAAACAAAGCTAATTGAAAATTAATGAGGATTATATTTGGGAGGGGGGGGTCGGGAGAGGGGGAAGGAGAGTGCCATGTCATGTGTTTTGGGCCTAGATTTGCTGAGGTAAGGATGGGGAAGCTGAGAAATTTTCAGTTCTCTTCCCACCCAGCACTGACCTTGCACCATATGCTACTGCCCTGCGTGAGCATGGCTGCAGCTCTCCATTCCCCTCAACTCCTTTGTTCTGTACCACCCCTGGAACTGCTGATGCCAGCAGCTTCTGCAGCATGGTGTCTTCAGGGCTGGCTGCCATGAGTCCCACAGGGACAGACTGGATCCAGACTTTGCCTCCCTGGAGGGCAGCCTGACACCCAGCACAGCCCTCCCTGCATGGCTATCACAATGCTAGTGAAGCCCCCACAATACAGGCAGGAGATTTTTTTCTCTGATCTTTCCCACCTCACATCCTGCAATTCAGAGGTGTGAAGCTAAAATGGCTCTACACAGCACTCAAGCCACAAACAGCAAAGTGACCCTGCTGTTAGGCTGCTGACCCAAGAAGAGATGACCCATGGCAGCAGAGATGAGCCTTGTGGGTAAAGTCAGGGCCAAGCAGGAGGGTGTGTGTGACCTGAGCTCAGCTGCTTCCCCATGCTTTCCTTGCTGCACCCACTGATAGAAAAAAGCCAGTAATTCTTACCAATTTGGTTTGATAAAGCCAGGAGGCATTCCTCCTCCTCCCTGCCAAGCCTGCAGGACAAAATTATGCTGGCTGGAGGCACAAGAGAGGTCAGAACTGACAGCAGCACTGCAGTACAGGCAAGATACAAACAATTAACATTGATGAGGCAAATCAGACTGCTGAGTGACAGTGTACTGTAGGGAATGCACTGCAGCTGAAGGCAGGAATTGCATCCATGTTGCATGGCCAGCATTAGTAATCACACAGGTTCACTTACATCCCCCAGAGTAAACTGGTGTCCATCTGTTGTATTCAGAGAGGTTCCTTACTCAATCATTATCCAAATGCCTCAAAATTCTCTCTATTTTATCAAGCTTCTGGCCCCCATACCATAAAAATTAAATTCCAGCATTTCTTTTAACATCAGTTCTTATTTTCCAGGAGAAAACTAGTGGGTGATAGTTCAAAGACTCATTCCCTCTCTCTCTGAGCACTGAGCTCCAGTCTGATAGCAAAAATGGCATTCCTGGGACATCAACCTCCCCTCTGTGGTCCCTTTACCATGCTGTAACAAAAAAAAGAGAAAGACTCAAGCACAGGCAGGATGTATAACCAGTATTTGCTGAGCTACAAAAGCCAGAGGATCTCCATTTCCAGCACAATCCTGGTTCCTTGCAGCCTGGGATGTCTTAACAGGAATACACATGGGAGAGTATCCCTTGCTAGTGTTACTGACCGGCAGCATTGCACCAACTACTCCTGGATTTACAGGCTAAAGAATTTCATGTTCTCACTCCTTCAGATCCTCTCTTCCTGGGTCCTTCAGGTTGCTCAGAAACAACTTGCTCTGTAGAAGTGGGTAGACAAACTGTTGGCTGGGGGATCCTGCTCCTGCAGGCAGGGCCTGGTCTGCCAAAGACCAAAAGGTTTTGCAGCTCCTCTGGGCAAAAGCAAACAGTGAGAGCAGAACAGAGGGACAACAGGAGGAGGAGTTTCCTTCTGCTAAGTTCATCAGTACCTGCAGCCCTGCATGGCTGCTTATGTGAAAAAGCTGGTACCCTACTAAAATCCTCCTGCTTCATACTGAGATTCCATTGCAGTCACAAGGTTCTCATACTCAAGGCTTTTCCTGTCTTTCACGGTGATCTTTTCAGTGCTAGAGCACATTTCCTCCCGTAGGCACTTAACAGGGACTTCCACCTCAGGGTGCAGCAGGGCGACCTCTGCAGTGCTGCGGCTGGGACAAGAGAGACACGAGTGAGAGGGACGATTAAAGCAGATGGCACTTCATCTACATCTTACAGACAAGAGCTACCACACAGTCTGTGGAACAGCAAAATTCATACTATTCTAGTGAGGACATGTGGGGCTCTGAAAGACACTAGAAAGTGATGTTAAAAGAATTACACAAAAAGAAGCATTGGTTAATACTAGCCCTATAAACTCTCATGGCATTATCTTGTTATACTCTAAAATTACCAGCAGACAGTCCAGCCTTTAGAAAGTAAATACTAGGAATATTTGTGACAAATTGCTACAGATTGCTATGGTGTGTATCTGAGTAGGAAAGCAGTATGAAGGTGTTGAAGACTAAGATGAGTTCGGGGCAGATGTGTTTGTATAATCATATGCTAATATGATTACTTTGCAAAGTAATACTTGGCCAAGCACTAAGACATGTTTCTTATGGAGAAAGGCAAGTGTAGAGGGAACTTAAAGGAAGAGCTGAAAATTTCTGAATTTTGCTTTGCTAAATAATGGCAAGAATTTCCCACAGAGAACAGGTATCCCATAGCATGTGACAAGCACAGCAAAACACCCAGAGTATCTTTCTGTTTTTCTACCATATTAAAAAACAGTCTGGCTATCTCCTGTGATCAGGTCCTCATGTTGCTAACTAAACTGCCAAGGTGTTCAGATCCTCTCCCTATAAGGCAAATAAGTCTTTGCTTTTCACTGAGCAAAGAGGCTTTTTAGGAGCAGATACCAGTACAGTGCCCTCAGTCTTAGTACCCCAAGTAGAAAATTGCACTTACAAAGCAACTTCATAGAGAGGTTCTGAAAAGAAAAAGGAAAAATAATCTAAGATATGCAGTGACTTGTTTTACGTGTCACAGAGCAAAACCCA